CTCTCTCTCTCTGGTATGCTGGTACTGAGGCTTGAACTCAGAGCTTTGTGTTCTCCTTTGTTCCTCCGGCTCAAGGCTGACATTCCACCACTTGAGCCACACTTCCAGTCTGGCTTTTGCTTGTTACTTGGAGACACATAGTTCATTGACTTTTCTGCCTGGAATGGCTTCGAAGGGATCCTCAGATCTCAGCCTCCTGAGAAGCTAGGATTAAAGGCATGAGCTGCCATTACCTAGCCCTAACCATGTACTTTAAAAGAAGAAAACTCGTTAAAATATATTTTTGAGAAACACATTACCCATACACAATGGCATTTTACACAGCCATTAGAATATTACATCATTTGCAAGGGAAATAGATGGACATACATTAAGTGAGACGAGCCAAGCTTAGAGAGACAAATAGTGCATGTTTTCTCTCATATGCAGAAGCTAAACCTAAACTACACCTAGATCTAAACTATATTGGGACATGATAATTTATACATGTCTCTAGGCATTCACACACAGTGAGACCAAAGGAGGGAATACTCTTAAGAGAAGAACACAAAGGCACAATGCCTATGTGTATCTGATCATACAAAATAATATTTATTGAAATATTTATTTTGTTGAAATATTACTATTGAAATATTTCCAGGAAATTGAAGCAAGAGGGTTTTTCCTTTTTTTGCTGTTTTCTTTTTGTCTTGTTTGTTCATTTTTCTGTCGTTGGGAGTGTAAGGGGAGGCACAGAAATGGAGGGGGAAAGGGTGAACAAATGCAGCAATGGTACTCATTGCACACTAGGTATGTATATATACCTTGTGGGTGTGGTTGGGAGGGAAAAACTGGGAGAGAGCAAGGGAAGGGTTGACATTGTTAAAAAAATGTACTCTTTCTCTGACTTATGTAACTGTAACCCCTCTGTACATCACCTATATAATAACAATAAAAAATATTTTTTGTGGTGCCAGGAAAATCAAAGCAGTGCTTAGCAAGCAGCTTGCCCAAGTTATAAGCTGTCTTTATGGGTACAGATAAGTACATAGAAAAGTTGTTTTACATCTCACTGAGTTGTATACACAGTCATTTATCTGTACACATGGTGTATGTGCCAATAATCAAATTAACAAGGTCTCATAAAATGTACCTTTTTATTGTCATACTAGAAAATAATGCTTTATGCTTACAGTTTTAGAACTTAAAATATTTACATGTAAGCTGTTTGAAATACTGAAAATGTAAAATCACAGTCAAGAATTCATTGTATATACTACAAAATTAAGAAAAGTAGGAGAAGGGGTGAGTTGAAGGGGGGTGAGAATGTTGAAAGGGGTGACACTGATTAAGACGTATTGTATTCATAAACTGCTTTGCTGTATGGCACCTCCTTTGCACAACTACTTAAAGATAATTTAAAATATGTAAAATAAAATATTAAAAAATTAAAAAATAAATTTGAAAACAAGCTGATGAAAACTTACATGAAAAAGTCAAACATTTCCCATGGCCCTGATCATTCCTGTTAAATATATTGAGTAAATTGGCTGTATTAATTCCACTCAATGAAACATTATATAATTGCATTTTTAAAAAGATCAAGAAAATTTGGTGATCATACTTTTTTCAATGATATGAAGTTGAATTTTTTTTTTTTGAGATAGACTCTCACTAATGTAGCCCAGGTTGGCCTTGAACAAGGGACAAATTTCCTAAGAAACTAACTTGAGAAATCCAAAAGGTGATTGGAATTATTTCATTTAACATTTGAGATACTGACAGGCCAATAATTTAAGAAAACCTTTGAGCAAAAAATAAGACCTTATCTCAAAAACAAATATAACTAGACACTGATGGCTTTTGCTATAATCCTAGCTACTTGGAGATCGAAGAGTGTCTTAGTTTAAGATTAGCCCAGGGGAAAAAAAGTTCAAAAGGCCCTAACTCAACTAAAAAACAAAAACAACCCACTGCTACCACCACCATTACCAAAAGGAATAACAGGGAATGGTGGCATATTCTTGTAATTCTAGCTATTGGGGATAGGGGGTGTAGGGTGAAATGTAGGATCGTGGTCTAGGAGTGCCCAGACAAAAAAGTGAGACTCTATTTGAAAGACAAAAACAACAACAAAACAACAACAAAACAGAAGAGGCATAACTCAAGTGGTCCAGTACCTTCCTACCAATCACAATGCCCTGAGTTCAAACCCTAGAATGCCCCTCACCCACCCTCTCCCATGGGCTAGGAATGTGGGGTATAGCAGAGGGTTTACCTAACATGCAAGATAATTTTGGTTTTATCCCTAATACAAAATAAATCTTTGACATTCAATTAGCTTGAAATTTATTCTATTGTAAGTTATGACTCAACTTATATAAAATTATTGTGGGAGGTTTAGCACAAGACATAATCTATTTCTAATGCAAATTTTTTTTGATAGAAAAAAAAGAAAGAAAAAGGAAATTACCTTGCTGAGCCCCTCTTATATTCCACAGTGTGTGTGTGTGTGTGTGTGTGTGTGTGTGTGTAAGTATGTAAGTACTAGGGCTTGAACTCAGGGCCTGAGCATTTTGCTCAAGATTGGCTCTCACTTAGGCCACAGCTCCACTTCCAGCTTTTTGGTGACTAATTAGAAATAAATTGCAGGGACTTTCCTGTTTCATCTGGCCTCAAACCATAATCCTCAGAGCACAGCTTCCTGTGTAGGAGGTATTTCTGACGCACCTTACTAGTGAGGTGAGAAATGTCATTGCCACTTTTCTGGGAGACACTGAAGGGCAAGGAGTCCCTGTGGTTAGGCTGCTAGAAAGGTGAGTTAAGGTGAGATTTGGAGCTCATTCTATTATCAGGACTATAGCAGGCTGCTGAAAAGCTCGAAAATACATTGGCATTGTAGGCATCTTTTTTTTTTTTTTTGGTCGGCGTGGGGCTTGAACTCTGGGCCTGGGCGCTGTCCCTCAGCTCTTCAGCTCAAGGCGAGCGCTCTACCACTTGAGCTACAGCGCCACTTCTGGTTTTCTGGTGGTTTATTGGAGATCGGAGTCTCATGGTCTCTCCTGCCCGGGCTGGCTTTGAACCATGATCCTCAGATCTCAGCCTCCTGAGTAGCTAGGATTACAGGCGTGAGCCACCAGCGCCCGGCTCATTGTAGGCATCTTTATCAATTTGCAAAAAGCACACTTTTTTTTTTTTTGGTCAGTCATGGGGCTTCAACTCTGGGCCTGGGCGCTGTCCTGTAGCTCTTCATCTCAAGGCTAGTGCTCTACTACTTGAGCCACAGTGCCACTTCTGGTTTTCTGGAGGTTTATTGGAGATAAGAGTTTCACAGCCTTTCCTGCCCTGGCTGGCTGTGAACCACAATCCTCAGATCGCAGCCTCCTGAGTAGCTATTACCAGTGCCTGGTAATAGCACACTCTTAAGTTTGGAGGTAGGTCACTAGTTTGATTCTGTCTTTTGCAGATGGAGAAGCCAAAACCCTAAAAGAACAGAAAGAACAGAAAGCAGAATGAAGTGTAGGCTAATGGGGCCAGATGAGGCCCAATACTGACAAATAGGAAGCCTGAAATAAGGAAAGAAAATCCTGATAGGTAAGGTGGTTGATGCCTAAAATCTTAGTTACTCAGGAGACAGAGACTGAGAGGATCATGGTTCAAGGCCAACTTCGAGAAAACATCCACAAGACCCCATTTTAAGCAATAAAAGCTATGCAGAGTGGAACATGTCTATCATCACAGGTATCAGGGAAACATACATGAAAATCATAGTCCAGTCTGGCTGAAAAAAAAGCAAGACCTTATTTAAAAAATAAGTAATGCACAAAGGACTGGAAGAGTAGCTCAAGTAGAAGAGCACCTGCCTAGCAAGTTCAAAGTGCTGAGTTCAAATCCCAGTATCATCAAAAGAAAAAAAGAAAATTCTGTCCAAGAAAGAGAAAGCAGAAGAAGCAACTGTTCTTTCTCCCACTGTAGGTGAGAATTCCTTTATTAAGAGTCATAATAATTTTTTAAAGATTCTGATTCCTGCTGTTGGGAGCTCACAGCCAAGCCAGTACCTCAATGCTTCAAGACCCCAAGTCCCACAATGCTTCATGGTACCAATAATGGAGCTGGAGAGGAGGAACTGCAGGGCGCCAGGGTCCCTGTGGCTTTGTCATCCCCAGCTGTCCTCATACAGCCCAGATTTATCTATCTGGACGACTGTATATTTCAAAAGCATCCACCATGGCAATTCTTCTCTGTCCAGACAAAAATCTCTCCCAAGGCACTGGCCTCATGTTTACACTTGTACAAAGCAATCACTTTTATAAAGTGCTTTCCTTCCCAGCTTCTCATGGGCAGGAAATAAGTGACAGCCCTAAAATGATTTTTCAGCTCAGAGGAGTAGGCTGCCTTCTTGATTCTCCAGCATATCAGGACGTAGGTACAGGCCTGAGCCTTCCGTTGGTTCAGCAGAGTTCTTTGGCACAATTTAGAAGTTTCATTTCTCATATTTCCTTGAATTCCAGTTGGTTCCACTGCAGACTCTTTATAAATAGGCAGAGGATTCCTGTGAGGCTGTGAAGATTGGAGTCCCAGCAATGTGTTGTGTCTATGGTGTTCTGTGAGGTTCCTACACTGATAATAGCTGTGCTGGGGGCCACTCCTTCCATGGTGCAGCCATTCCTGCTTATCATTCATTGTCTAATCCTATCTTTTCAGGGGATAGAAGTTTGCAACTTCTCTTGTATTCAAATGGATGTTTTGGTGTTTCTCTTGCCTAAATGTTAGGCATTAACCTGATAGGTTTCAAAAATTAATATAATTTACTTCCTATTATGTCAGTGCAAAACAAAGGTGTTTTTAGGACAAAGCACTGAAGACTAGAGAACCTTCTTCCTTCTATTTCTTGAGTAAGCAACAAGTACAGAGTTCTGTAAACATGTTTGGATCTGTATCTGTTGGGCTGGGTCCACCGTTTTATTCCATTCTGAACTAGTCTTGTATAAAATAAATACCCAGTGACCTTCTTGTCTTGTTCAAAATGGAGACTCCCGCAACATCTGGACTTTCATCAGGGCTCGCTTGAGTTGTTCATAGGTCACAAACATCATCACATTCCAGGCTCCCAAGCGCAAAAAGGAGGGTGTGAACCTGATGAGGAAAAAATGATCTACTATGATCTACTAGATCTACTGTACTCTCCCAAGACCTGTCAGTGCTGAAGGAGCTGGCCTGCTCTTCACAAGTCTTCTGAGATCTATTCCTTCTCTGTCTTCTCTGCTAAGGGGGCTTTACGTACAAGTTGGGTTCAGGAAAGGAAAGAAACTAATATGCTGAACTGGGTTCCCACATCATGTGTTGAATCGTCACAACTGTATATAAAAACTATGCTTGTTGCTACGCTTTAAAAAACAAACAAACTGGGGCCCAAGGAGACTAAGGAACTTGGTCAAAACCACACAGCTGGTAAGTTCAGGTGGAGGGTTCAAATGTGTCTAACTCACCCTACTGCTAGGGGTCTCTGCTCATTTACATCCTGATTCAACCCCCTGGTGAGGCCCCTGCAGGGATACCACACTAGGAAGCAGGTATGACATATCTAGAGAGCCTGCCTTGGCTGTGATGGCATGTTGGTGTGACAGTGTCCACTCCAAGCTGTGCTTCAAAGATGCAGGGAGGAATCTGTCACCGCATCCATCCAATAGTAACCTCTGGGCCCTATGGCTCCTGACAGATTCATGTAGTTCTGGTTCCTGGTGATGTCAGGCCCTCTTCCTTCTGTGCCTTTGCCCATTTGCTCCCCTGGTTTGGACATTTGTTGTCTTCTCTGCCTAGCTGGTTGCTCTCCACCACCTAGGACCCAGCTTGAGGACCACAGCCACAAACCATGGCCTTTCCTGAACTAGCACAGAGCCCGCAACACTGTATGTGTATTCTGGAGCCCAGACCTGAGTTCACTATCTTTTATTTTCTTTCTCTCTTTATTTCTCTGTCTCTCTTCCTCTTTCATCCTTCCTTCCTACCTCCCTTCCTTTCTTCTTCTTTTTTTATGTACCAGTCCCAGGACTTGAACTCAGGGTCTGGACACTGCCCCTTAAGCTTTTTTGCTCAAGGCTAGCTCCACTTGAGCTACAGCTCCACTTTTGGCTAGTTGATGGTTAACTGGAGATAAGAATCTTGTGGACTTTCCTGCCCAGGCTGGCCTCGAACTACAATTCTCAGATCTGAGCCTTGTGAGATCTTGAACAAGTGACTTAATCTTTTTTTTTGCGGGGGGCGGTCGTGGGGCCTGCACTCTGGGCCTGGGCACTGATCCCCTGGTTCTTCAGCTCAAGGCTAGCGCTCTACCACTTGAGCCACAGCGCCATTTCTGGCTTTTTTCTTTTTTGCTTATGTGGTGCTGAGGAATTGAACCCAGGGCATCATGCATGCAAGGCAAGTGCTCTACCACTGAGCCACCTTCCCAGCCCTAAGTGACTTAATCTTGAGAAGCCTTAGATTCCTCATCTCTACATTAGAGAGTTACAGCACTTTCCTACAGGTGGGCCATGTGGATTAACTGGGTCAGTGGTCAGCATAAGCACAGCCTAGTATTAGTCACTGCTCAATAAAAACCACATACATGTCTGATGCTCTTCTAAGGAGGCACAGGTCAGGGCCTAGCATACATGTATAAGTGTATGTCAAGTGAAAGAATGGACTGAGACAAGTAACAACAGAGGCACTTAGTAGAATAATTAACAGATTTCCAGAACCTACAGTGGCTCCTGTGAGCTTGCTGGGTTCAATCTCACAGTGGGTGAGAGCCACGCCAGTAATGTAAACAGTACCATGTTGAGTGTGGCCTTAGTGGCCTGGATTTGAGCCATGGCTCTGCCATTTACCTTGTCATATTGGACAAGTCACTTTTCTGAAATGCAATCTCTTCCTTAGTCAAGGGGGACCACTACCTAGTCAGAGGGTTTCTGAATAATGTATCTAAAGTACTTAGCACAGTCCCAATACAAAGGAACTTAGCTATTGGGGTGACGGTAAATAACTCATACTATCAAGTGCTTACTTTATGCTAGGGACTCCTGGAGATGAAAGGTAGACAAGCCACCAGCCTTTGGCTTCAGGGAGCTTGCACTTCAGTATTAACCGGAGCACTGGGCACCAGTAGCTCGTGTTTGTAAATCCTAGCTACTCAGGAGGCTGAGATCTGAAGATCACAGTTCAAAGCCAGCCCAGGCAGGAAAGTCCAAGGGACTCTTATCTCCAATTAACCACCAAAAAACCAGAAGTGGTGCTGTGGTTCAAATGGTAGGGCACTAGCCTTGAGCAAAAAAGCTCGAGGACAGTGCCCGGGCCCTGAATTCAATACCCACAACTGACAAAAAACGAGCCGATGGCTCATTCCTGTAATCCCCGGCTAATCAGGAGGCTGAGAGCTGAAGATTTCAGTTCTAAGCCAGTTGAGAGTAGGAAAGTCCAAGAGATTCTCATCTCCAATGAAGCGCCTAGTGGAACTGTATTAGTGCACTAGCCTTGAGCACAGAGATTCAAGAACAATACCTAGGCCCTGAGTTCAAGCCCCAGCATGGGGATCCAATAAAAGGTAGAAGGGAGCCAGGTGCCAGTGGCTCATGCCTGTAATCCTAGCTACTCAGGAAGCTGAGATCTGAGGATCACAGTTCAAAGCCAGCCGGGGCAGGAAAATCTGTGAGACTTATCTCCAATAAACCACTAGAAAGCCGGAAGTGGTGCTGTGGCTCAAGCAGTAGAGTGCTCGCCTTGAGCTGAAGAGAACAGGGACAGTGCCCAAGCCCAGAGTTCAGAGTTCAAGCCCCATGACCAACCAAAAAAAAAAAAAAAAGGTAGAAGGTTATTAATACTATAAAAAGGGAATCAAATAGTATCTCCAAAGTTCACAGGAAGGAGAGAATTTATAGGTGAGTGTATTAGGGGAGAGGTGGTGTGTGAACTAGTCTGGAAGGGTTGCTAAGAGTCAGTAAACATATATGCTGAGGGAAAGACACTTCATGCAAGGCAACAGCAAATGCAAAGGCTTGGGAAGAACAAAAGAAAGCAGCCAAGATCTTGGGGACAGGAGGTGGGAGCAGCGGGGGGGGGGGGGGGGGGGGGGGGGGGGGGGGGGAGGAAGCAGGAGGAGGTAGCTTACCCTTTGTAGAGGGGGGGGGGGGGGGGGGAAGCAGGAGGAGGTAGCTTACCCTTTGTAGAAGGCGGTGAGACCCTCCTGGGCCATCATTTTGAGCATACAGTGCAGGGGACTACGGTATCGGCCTGGGGGGGCATTCATGTACCGGGTCTTCACCACATCCACTGGGGAGGCCACCACTGTGGCGCAGAAGCCGGCTCCAAAGGCAGAGACAAAGTGGCAGGGGAAGTTGTCTGTAGAAAAAAATGGGAAAAGCAAATATCAGGGAAGAGTACAATTCTGCCCCGTTCCATGTATGTTCACTGCCCGTCTCCAACTTAGCCTTGGGTTCCTCCTCCTCCTCCTCCCCCTGCTCCCCCTCCTCCTCCCCCTCCTCCTCCTCCTCCTCCTCCTTCTTCTTCTTCTTGTGTATGCTGATGCTGGGGCTTAAACACAGGACCTGGGCACCATCCCCCTTTTTTTTCCCTCAAGGATGGTACTTGTATCACTTGAATCATACCTCCACTTTTGGCATTTTGGTGATTAACTGGAAATAAGTGTCTCATAAACTTTTCTTCCCAGGGTGGTTTTGAACTTCAATCCTCAGAGCTCAGCCTCCTGAGTAGCTAGGATTACAGGCATGAGCCACCAGTGCTTAGTCATCCTTGACCTTCTTGAGTATATATCAGTACTGTCCATATCTCCCTCAGTTCCCAGAGCTGAGCTCTTGATAACTCCTGGTAAACTTTGATAGAGATTACCCAGTCCAATGATCTCATTTGAAGAAAGTGAAATCACAGGTGACTCTCTGAAAAACACACTGAGCCAGGCATGGTGCTTGTAATCCCAGCTATTCAGGAGGTAAGGATAGGAGGATCGTGGTCTGAGGCTAGCCTGGCAAAAGCAAAAGACCTTCTCTAAAAAACAAAGTAAAGCAAAAAGAGATGAGGCATAGCTTAAAAGACAAGACTCTAAGTTCAAAACCCTGGTACTGCCAAAAAAAATTAAGAAAAATAAAAAAAAGACAATATGGTATGGATACTGGAACCTAGGGCTCTGGTCTTCACCCCAGACTTAATTACCACTTCGCTTAGGTCACCTCTTCTGTCTCTGTTCCTGCTAAAGCTCAGACACCTCTGGGTGGTGCCCACTGTGTGGAGGGAGGGCTGCCTTCTCTGGAGCCCAGGGCCTCACCAGTGAGCAGGCGAGACTCCAACAGCTTCTCTTTGATAATGTCGTAGGTCACCATCTCAGCACAGTTGACAATGGCATTCCTCGTGATGTTGGGCAAAATCCCTGTTAGGAAGGTGGCAGGAGCTGATGAATTGGGATCAGGAGAAGTGGAAGCTCTGCCTAAGACCTAGACCCTAGTGTAGTAATCTGGGGGCTCATCCCTTCTCCTGAGTTCCTTCTGGGGAAAACAATTCTCAGATTCTCACTGTCCTCTCAGACAGAGGAAATGGTGGTCCACTTGTGTTTCTTTTCTTTTCTTTTTTGGTTGGTCATGGGGCTTGAACTTGGGGCCTGGGTTGCTATTTTTGAACCCTTTTCACTCAAGGCTAGTGCTCTACCACTTTGAGCCACAATGTCACTTCCAGATTTCTGGTGGTTCATTGGAGGAAAGAGTCTCATGGACTTTCCTGCCTGGGCAGCCTAGCCGAGTAGCTAGGATTACAGGCATGAGCCACAAGCACCGGGCTCCACTTTTATTTCTTGACTACATTTGGGCTCCAATAGCTGTAAAAATTCAAATATATCTCCTTGAGACCAGACAGAAACAGGACATTCTTTTCTTTTTCCTTTTTTTGATTATATGTGTACGTATGTGTGTGTTGGTCTTGGGACTTGAACTGAGGGCCTGGATGTTCCCTGAGCTTTTGTTGCTCAAAGCTAGCACTCTACCCACTTGAGCCACAGCTCTACTTCTGGCTTTTTTGGTGGTTAATTGGATATAAGAATCTCATGGACTGGGGCTGGGAAGGTGACTCAGTGGTAGAGCGCTTGCCTTGCATGCCTGAGGCCCTGGGTTCGATTCCTCAGCACCACATAAGCAAAAAGAAAAAAACCGGAAGTGGCGCTGTGGCTCAAGTGGTAGAGCGCTAGCCTTGAGCTGAAGAGCTGAGGGACAGAGCTCAGGCCCAGAGTTCAGGCCCCACAACCGAACCCCCCCAAAAAAATAAATAAAAAATCTCATGGACTTTCCTGCGCAGGCAGGCTTCCAACATTGATCTTCAGATCTCAGCCTCCTGAGTAGTCAAGATTGCAGTTATGAGCCACGGGCTCCAGTCTAGCAGGATATCTTACAGAAGGGAAGCTCTCTCTTGGCACGGGAGAGGGAGAGGTTTCCCTGGGGAAGGGGTGGGCTTGCAGTGGGACGCAGCCTATACATGGGGAAGGCTGGTAAGGTGAAGGGAATCTGAGGCCTTGGGTATTTGTATTTGGAATATTCTTATGGGGGCCTCATACCCCATGTTGGGTCAGTGCCCTGCTGTGCTGGGTTTCTGCTGCCATCCTAGGTCAGGAAAGCCCCTGAGCCTACCTTTCCACAGGCCCCGGATCCCTTCTTCCCTGGCGATGGTTCTGTAGGCGTCCATAGTCCCGCTGTATTTCCTGTCGCTCCCGGGCCCCAGGCGAACGCTGGCCTGAAATCGGACCTTCACCACGTCGGTGGGTTGGGCACAGGTGACCGCCATGGCCCCCGTGGTGCAGCCCGCCAGGATCCGAATAGTGATGCTGGAGTCTGGGAAGAGGAGAGGGAGCGCCGCCATCTGATTCTAGGGAGGAGGAGCGAGCCCTCGGACTTGGAGATGTCCTTGGGGACAGGGTCACCCCCTCCCCGCAGGCGTGGCACTCACGGTCCGCCTCCTGGGGCGTGTAGAACTGCTTGACCGAGTCGTAAAGGCCGATGCGGATGGAGGCGAAGCTCATCTGGCGCTGCAGGCCGGCCACCAGCCCGTTGTAGAGGCTGCGGGGTCCCTCGGTGCGCACCATGGTCAGGACGGTGCCTAGCACGCCGCGGTACCGCACGCTCTGGGCCGCGGGGTTCTCCCCCTGGATCTGGGGGAGCAATCACAGCTGCCTGGGGAGCTGGGAGGGCTGGGGGACTGGACCTGCCTGCCTGGACCATGAGAACCAGCGTGACCATCATGTCCCAGTGAGAAGAGCTGAGGTCTGTGCTGGTTTTATAATTCAAAAAATACAAGAGTGTGGCCTTTGATCTTAAGGGTAAATCAGAGACTCTCATTGCTTTTCTTCTTTCATGAATGGTTAGTGGCAGGGCACTGGTGGCTCATGCCTGTAATCCTAGCTACCAGGAGGCTGAGATCTGAGGATCACAGTTGGAAGCCAGCAGGGGCAGGAAAGTCTCCAAGATTTTTTTTTCTGTCTGTCCTGGGGCTTGAACTGTTATGGGCACTGTCCCTGAGCTCTTTCCTTCAAGGCCAGCACTCTACCAACTTGAGCAGAGCTCTACTTCCAATTTTCAGGTTGTTAAACTGGAGTCTCACGGACTTTCCTGTGATCCTCAGCCTTCAGCCTCCTGAGTAGCTAGGATTACAGGCATGAGCCACAGTGCCCAGTTTATGAGATACTTTATCTACCAAAAAGCCTTATGTTGGAGCTGTGTCTGGAAGGGTAGAGTGCTAGCCTTGAGCAAATAGCTCTGAGACAACACCTAGGCCCTGAGTTCAAGCACCAGGACCAACACACACACACACACACACACACACACACACACACACACAGATTGCCTTGTACCTTTATTAAATACCTTTTTATGGCTTACAAAGCAGATTTGGCATCCTGTGTCAAGGCAGTTAGGCCTTTTCTTGCAGGGATGTGGTTAAGGGGAGAAGGAAGGAAGGGCCCTAAACATTGGATTGACCTTCCTGAGGCTTTCCTGAGGCAGGGAGTGTTGCAGGCGGGCTGAACCTATGGTTGGGGAATCAGCCCTTCCTGTGACTTTGGGCCAAAGGGCACCTACCTGCAGGCGGACTTTGGCGGTGTCCAGGGGAAAGGTGAGGAGGTCAGCAATACAGGCCGCAGTTCCCGCCCCCAGGCACTTCACAACCGTTGTGGGAGGCACTTCTGAGGGCTTCAGTCCAACCATGGTCCCAGTAGGATGGGCCTGGGCCCTCTGCGGCCCAGTGAAGTCTAAGGAGAGGTTGCCTGGCAGCCCTGAGCTTCAGTGCAAAGAGAAAGCTGTAGGAGACAGGCCAGGGGGCAGTTGAAAGTGTGCCATCTGGCCCCATTGCATCTCCAGGCACCCCACAGCCCCCAGGAAGGGCTTAGAAGGTGAGAAGCCTGGAGGCATCAACTTGCTTAAGTTGACTGAATTTGGCCTGTAAAATCAGGTCACTTCTCCTCAGTGTCCTGTTGCTTCTCTGCGCTCCTGATCCCCGATGTGTGTCATCACGCCAGATCCTTCTCCCAAATAATTAAGAAAAACATTCCTTGTGACTCAATAAAACTGCTATTCATCTTGAGGGAAGTCATTTCTTCTTATAAAGATGCTTAAACTTACCTTGTGTGTCAGAACTGGGGCTTGAATTCCGGGCCCGGGCACTGTCTCTTCCTCAGCTTTTTCTCTCAAAGCTGGTGTTCTATCACTTAAATCACACCTCCTCTGCTTTTATCCTTTTTGTTAGTTAGAGACTAGTGTCTCGAATCTGTTTGCCAAGGCTGGCTTCAAGCAGCAATCCTCAGATCTCAACCTCCTGATTAAGCTTTTTAAATTGAGGCAAATTTACATACAATGCTTGGAGGCATTTAAAGGGGCCCTAAGCTCTCCTTTGAATTAGGCACTGACTCTAGAATGCTAGGCCTGGGCAGCAGAGAAAGATTTTCCCACTGGAGACCTGACCTAACATCCAAGCATATGGCAGTCAGATCATGTCACTCCTCTGGTTTAAAATTGCCCAACAGCTCCTCATCTGATTTAGAACAATGTAAAGTCTTTGCTATAGCCCTCAGGGTCCTGCAGAGCCCCTATTATGCCCTCAGCTCATCTCTCCCCTCTCCCCACTCACTCATTGAGCATGGGCCACAGGTTGCTCTGGCCTTTGCTCAGCCTGTGCCCTCTGCCTGGACTCTAGTTCTTCTAGACCTCCATACAGCGTGTCTCCTCACTTCTTCATATTTCTCTGAAAATGTCACCTCTTTATTATTATTATTTTGTTATTATAGAGGTGATGCACAGAGGGGTTACTGTTTTGAAAATGTCGCCTCTTTGAGTCTCTTCCCCAAGCTTCTCTGACACTGTGTCATGGCACTAGTTTCCTCCCCTCCCCACCTCATCTACTGCTGCTCTCCCACTCAGGTGCCCTGTCCCTGGCAGCAAGAATTTGCTCTATCGGGGCTGGCAAGGTGGCTCAGTGGTAGAGTGCTCACCTTGCATGCCTGAGACCCTGGGTTTGATTCCTCAGCACCACAGAAGCAGAAAAAGCCGGAAGTGGGGCTGTGGCTTAAGTGGTAGAGCGCTAGCCTTGAGCTGAAGAGCTGAGGGACAGCGCCCAGGCTTAGAGTTCAGGCCCCACAACCCACAAACAAACAAACAAACAAAAAGAATTTGCTCTATCTTCGAGGGCTGTATTGCAGAAAGAACAGATGGAGGCATTAGGGGAAGACCCCTTCTCTTTCCATCTGATTCCATCTTTACATCATATCCCTTTTTTTAAACTAGTTCTGGGGTTTGAACCCCAGGCCTGGGCATTGTCCCTGAGTGTCTGTTGCTCAAGGCTAGCACTTTACCACTTGAGTCACAGTGCCACTTCTGGCTTTTTTTTTTGTTTATGTTGAATTGAACCCAGGTCTTCATGCATGCTAGGCAAGCACTCTACCATTAAGCCTCATTCCAAGCCTACACTATACCCTGAGGTGCTAAGAACCAGCACACACTGAAGAGACCTTCATTGTGCCAGGCCCTGTGTTTGGCATGCTGAGAAACCCAGAGATGGGCAAAAACCAGTATGTTTATTTGTCCATTGAGTCTCCAGGAGCATTAGCCACACCCACACAACTACAGTGCAAGGACTATGGTCAATGTAGAGGGTAGAAGCTGTGGAGAAAGGAGGATCCTTTTGTGAGGCGGGAGGAGGGCTCACAGGAGCTAAGTCTGGAAGGGGTTTCATCAGCTAAAGAGGTGGGCTGGCTGTTCCAGCAGAGGCAAGGCCTGAACCTGCACCAAAGGCCAGAACTTAGTGTGAACTCTTCACACACAATTGCACCATCTTGCAAGTGTCCCGAGGGGTTCTGAGACACTAGTTTGCTGATGTTGCCATGCCCTAGTATCAAAGCTGGTGCTCACTCTGTTATGGTAGACTCAAAATAACCTTGGAAGAAGCAGGGCAACATTGAAATCTAGTTTTCACATGAGAAAGTAGAAGCTTAGGATGGAAAGAGATTGGCTCAAGGTCATGGAAATCCAATCTGTTGTTCCAAAGGTGATCCTTACTATGGTGATCCAGGGCTTTGGTCAATGTGGCAATGTGACTATTTTTATTGAGGTACTCAAAGCCCTCCACAGTTACTACATGATTTGCAAACCCACCTCGGAGGGCTCCTGTATCAAGCATTTGAAGCCTAGTGAGAAAGGCTGGCTAAGCATCAGTGCTCTGCTGGGCAGATGAAGTTCATGACTCAGAGAGGCTTAGTGAGCGCTATGCAAATGGGTAGCCAGGGATCAGCTTTTCTGGGGCTCTTCCTTTAGTTCACCTTTCCACCTTTCTGAGTTGTTCCCTGAGTCAAGCCCAAGAAGGCTCTTTGGGAAGGTGGAGGCCTGGAGGCCCTCAGAACTGATCTGGTTGACAGCAGGTTAGGTTAGGGGAAACACCCTCCACCTGCTCTCCTCCTACCCACTCCCCTTTGCCCCACAGGAGACAGCCAGGCCTGGGCTCTGTCCCAGCCCAGAGGCTCTGGCTCCCCTGTCTGGGCCTGGAATGTATTGTGGGAGCAGCTGACTCCCCATGGCATTCTGGCAGCTTCTCTCCCCGCCAACCCTGGCATTTCCCTTTGCTTTGCCTTGGAGCTCTAAGGATTGCTGGGCGGCTATGGGCCTTGACATTGTAAACTTGAGACTGAGTCTCAGAGGTAGGAGGCCCTTTGGAGTGTACTTTTTAGTATTGCTTGCTCCTTAGGCATATTCCTTCTTCAAAACCTTTGTCTGAGCTTGGTGCCATTGGCTCATACCTGTAGTCCTAACTATTCAGAAGGCTGAGATATAAGGATTGTGTTTGAAGCCAGCCTGGGCAGGAAAGTCCATTAGACTTATCTCCAAGTAACCACCCAAGAGCCGGAAGTAGAGCTGTGGCTGTAAGTGGCAGAGCTAGAAGCTTTAAGCAAAGAAGTTTAGGGATGGTATCCAGGCCCTGAGTTTGTCTCAATACTGATACACACAAACACACACACACACACACACACACACACACACACACACACACACACCCCTTTGTCTGGAGTCATGTAGAGGCTAATAAAAGAACCTATGTGAGGTGTTTTTTGCTCCAGTTTTAATGTTCAAAGTGAGTCTCAGATAGTTAGTGACCTAAGGCCGCAGATGGGGTGATGAGCAGATGGGGTTCAATCAGGGTTGTGTATGTAACGCTAGGCCCATTCTCTGCCCAAGGCTACCAGAAGTGGAGTGTTTTTGCTGTGCCAGGCCCTACAGAGGGCATTTCATAGGTTTTGCTTCATGCTGAGGCTGGGTCTGTCTCCCTGGGGAGCCTTGTCTCCCCTGACCAGAGAGTTGAACTGTCAAGCAGAGCTTCCTTCTCTCTCTCCCCCCTGTCTCTCTCGCTCTCTGTCTCTCTCTCTCTCTTTCTCTCATACTAGTCCTAGAACTCAGGGACTGGGAGATACTTCTGAGTTTTATTTGCTCAAGGCTAGCACTCTACTACTTGAGCCACAGTTCCATTTCTTGCTTTTTGGTGATTAATTGAAGGTAAGAGTCCCATGGACTTTCCAGTCCTGGCTGGCTTTGAACAGCTGTTAGCGGATTATAGGATTATAGACATAAGTCATTGACACCCAGCTCAGTGCTTTTCTTCTAAACCCACTTTGTTCCCAGCCATCTTTGACCCCTTCACCGTCTTGTAGAGAGCGATTTACTATCTGTACTGGTTTTCCTACTAGATAGGAGCCCCTATGTCAGGAAACAACCTACTTACCCTGCTTTTCTCAGAAGCTTGATATATGGAGGACACAGGCCAGGGACCTAAAATAATGATATGGAAAAGGAGTCAGAGATGACCCCATAGACCTTTGTTAGAAGGTATTGAATGCCAAGGTTAATCTAGTGGAGAAAGGGGAGGTGAGAGTCATGCCTGTGTTCAGAACATGCTGGACAAGCATCAAGGATGGTGTTTGAAGGGAGAGATGGGGGCTCAGAGACCAGTGAGGGGGTTGTTGGAATAGTGCCAGCAAGAAATGTCAAAACTTGAATTTGGTCAAGAGTATCAACAGGAATAAAGTTGCGAATAGGGGTGGCTCTGAGCCACCCACCAGACTCAGCTCAAAAGTCACACCTGAGCTGGGCACTGGTGACTCTTCCCTATAATTCTAGTTGTATCATAGGCTGAGATGTGAGGATTGTGGTTTGAAGCTAGCCTGAGCAGAAAAGGCTAGGGGACTCATCTCCAATTAACAAACAAAAAGCCAGAAGTGGAAGTGTGGCACAAGTAGTAGTACATGTGAATAAAAAAGCCAAGTGTTTTAAGCCAAGCTCAATACCCTGACCTCAAATCCCTAGTGCTGGTGCAGGCGCGTGCGTGCGCGCGTGCACACACACACACACACACACACACACTCAGTCACACCTGGGTGCCCTGAGGTCTGAACACCCCAGCTTCTTTCCCCCTAAACTCATGCCTCCTGAACTATTAGATGAAAGAGCTAGGCAGCCAGAAGAGAGAGCTGGGTCACCAGCTGAGAGAGGAAGTCAAGAGCAATCCTCCCTGAAGCCCTTTTAGGGGATACTTAAGGGATCACTAAGGGTTTACCGAATGCTTCCTCCAGCAGGCACTGTGTCAAGAGCTTATAAACATATCATCTAATTTAATCCCTTTACAAAATGGGAGTTGCTATTATTCCCACTTCATAAGCAGGAGGCCCCTTGGCTTATAGGACGTTAGCTAGTCAGACACTGGAGTGCTGGAGCTGAAACTAGGGTCCGGGTCTATCTGACACCTGAACTAGTGCCTATTTCACTGCCCAGAGTCCCAGGCTACAGGGAGAGTTCCGGATCACTTGAGCTGTATATTTACAGGTAGCTTTTCATCCCTCAGGCCCAGAGATTAGAATTCAGGTCTGGGGTAGGGGTGGGGGCTAGAAGTCTGCATTGGGAAGAAATTGTCCATGGTAGTTCAGAAGCAGGGATGGAGCTCTTATTCTGAGACAAGTGTCCACACGACTTCTCAGCCCCAACCTCACCCTCCCTGGCAAAAGCCTCCACTGCAGCTCCACTGAGGAGGCCAACTGGGCAGAGAGGCTGTGGGCTCCAAAAAAACATCCAACACACAATTTAGGCCAGGCTTCAGATCAGAGGTTCTTCCATCTTCTCCACTCAGGAAAATGCCACTGGATCCTCAGAGAGGCTTTGTACCCTGAAGGAATCAGTAGATTTGGGGCTAAAGGAAAAAGCTAGTATCTGTGGAGATTTGCAAAATCCCACCAGAAGAACTGGCAGGGCAAGAGCAGATCCTAGGGAGTGATGCAGGTATGGGGTTCAAGGCCATCCTCAGGGCTGCTGTTCCTTCACCTTGACAGGGTGGGGACTGGACTGACTCTCTCTGGACTCTTCCATGCTGTGGTTAGTGATCCCTGGAAGCTGATGGCTGCCACTGTGAGTCTCTATAAAAGGGAGAGCAGGCTGAGGGAAATGGAGGCTGAGGGAGGGGATGGGGTCTTACCTATGAGTCTAGCCAGGGCAGTGCAGCACACGGGCTCCCTAGGGCTCCATCCCAGGAGGTAGCAGAGGATCTGATCACCCTTCCTTGCCATTCACTGTTGTCTCTGGTGCCTCTGGCTTGGCACCAGTCTTATACACCAGCTGACCTGTAACCTAATCCTGAGAAGCTAGTTGACAGTCAGAGCACTTGACAAGAGGCAGGCTGGTGAGGGGCAGGGAGGAGGAGTGGCCATTAGGTTCCAGCTCTAGTTTTGCTCCCTTGATTTGAAGCTCCTTAATACCACTCTTTGAGCTACAAAAAGAGCCGCTAATCTTGGTGACAAAGGTATATAGGGGTATGTGTGTGCATGTGTGTGTATGCGTGTGGCCCTGTTACTCTTGAGTCTACAAGTCAAGGTCTCCAGGATATACTGTGTAGCAGGGTTCTTTGGGGATCCTCTTCCAACCCTCCCCCCACCCCTACCCTATGCTGTAGACAGATCGTAGGAACTTAAATATGAGGGGAAGGTTGTCTCAGGTTTTTGAGGCAGGGTCTCACTGTACATCGTAGATTAGCCTGGAATTTGAAATCCCCTTGATTCAGTCTCATGAGTGCTGGGATTACAGGTGTGTACCAACATGCCTGGCTCTAAGTGTCATAATAATAGCAATAATGTTGACTTGTGGAATTGATACCCCTTTGTTCAAATACTTAAAATACAAAAAACTTAATAGCAATGGTGACTACCAGAATTTCTTAGTGTCTACTATGTGCCAGATCTTTTTATATCTTGCTATTTTCTCTTCCATGAAACAGGTACTATTGGGGTTCTAAATTTTTATTTGATTTTATGCTGGTCCTGGGGCTTGAACTCAGGGTTTAGGCACTGTCACTGAGCTTGTTTGTTCAAGGCTATCTCTTGAGCCACAGGCTCATGTCTGTCTTTTTGGAAGTTTATTGGAGAAAAAGATTTTCACAGACTTTCTTGTTCAGGCTGGCTTTGAATTGCAGTCCTCAGATCTCAGACTCCTGAGTAGCTAGGATTACAGGTGTGAGTCACCAGTGCCTGCTGAGGATTTCAATTTTTTTTGGCTTTTTTTCTTTTTGCTTATGTGGTGCTGGGGAATCGAACCCAGGGCCTCAGGCATGCAAGGCAAGCGCTCTACCACTGAGCCACCTTCCCAGCCCCTCAATTTTTTTTTAAAAAATAAGATTTATTGAGATATAAGTTACATATCATACCATTCACCTACTTAAAGTGCACACAATTCAAGTGGTTTTTTAGTATATTTAGAGTTGTGCAGTCACCACCACAATCTATTTTAGAACATATTTATCACCCCTCTAAAAAAACTCTTTGTACCTTCGCAGTCATCTTCCTTCCCCTCCCCCAGCCCCAGGCAACCTAATCTCCTTCTGCCTTTAGATTTGCTTATTCTGGATATTTCCTATAGGATATTTCCTATGAACTCATTTGAGATTGGCCTCTTCCACTTAACATGGTAGTGTTTTTCAAAACTCATCTCTGTTTTAGTGTATATTAGTATTTCATTACTTTTGTTGTGGAGATTTCTCAGTTTTGAGGAATGTGGAAGGGCAATTTGGGACAGAGGATAGCCAGGGTTGGCCTGAAGCTTGTGATCCTCCTGACTCAGCCTCCTGATTCCTGGGATTACAGGTGCAAGCCACCAAGTCTGGGTTTTTGAGAATTATTGTATTTTAAAGATTATTCTACATATTATTCAAGTCTTAGGGGATACAATGAAATACCAAGGTTAGACAGCCTTGTATATGGCAGGGACTGACCTCAGCTTACAATCTGTAATGCATTTGGGCCTATCTCCATGTCACCGAAGGCTTCAGTGTGGACATGATAGGATCAAAGGAAGATGCGGGAGGGTGGGAAAGGTCCCACGTAGCTACTGAAGGTTCCATTTGTAGGGTTAGCATAGCTGAACCTGGGACCCAAGTGGCAAGGCAGAGGTAGAGGGGGAGACAAGCAGAAGAGAAGAGAGGGAAGGAAAGGGAGTTATAACTGGGTGGAGCAGAGAAGGCAGAAGCCATTTCTGGACTTAGGCACAAAGACATGGTCACAGGGGCAGGAGATCAAAGGTCCATGGTGAAAGTTTAGGCTGTGCTTGTCCCCAGCTCTGGATTAGAGGTACAAGGGAGTGGCTGCTAGGGTGATTGAGACTGGAAGGAGTTTCTGGGCTCTTCCTGAAAAGACTAGCCTGGAGGTGGGGGTGGGGAGGTGGGGGTGGGGGTTAGTTTCCCTGGGGTTACATGGGCGAGGGATACAAGTGGGAACCAAACCAGAGGCTATCAGGTTTTGGAGAAATCAGAGGGAGGGTGGACTTAGCTGACTGGCTGGGATTCAGCCAGCCTCTAGGCCATCAGGAACACTTATTTTCAGGTGGAGGGCATGTCCAAAGAGAAGTCAGAGACAAACTATTGCAAGTTCTGGACACACAAGCAAATCACCTTGGAGCTACCAATAGGAGACAAATCTAACTTCTGGGGATGACAGTGGCAAATAATACACTGTTTCTAAGCGCACGGTGGTGAGTTTCAGACTTGCAGGGTGGCTTTGTGTCATCAGAATCTGCCCCTACCCTGTGGCAGGAGCGGCACAAGTCCTCCTGTGGCCGTGTCCTCATTTGATCCCATCAGGTTATTTACAGGACAGGCTTTGGAAGGAATGTTCTTCACCTGAGACTTTACCCCTTCGATCTGGGCTCAGGGTTCTGCTGGAGGTTTCTTGTGGCCTCAGGGGTGGGAGAGGTCTGGTTGTTGGAGGCTCTGCACAGGACTGAGAATGCTGTGAAGGCATAGGGCTGGGAGGTTGGTGTCTGGGGAGCCAAGCTAAACAGATGTAGGGGCAGGTCAGGCTAGGGCACAAGGGGCTCCTACGTCACTTTGGAGTTAGTCTGCCTGCCCTGCCTCCTTAGTTACTGCTGTGAGGCTTTCACTAGTTTGCTCCAGGACTTTTGGGACAGTGGGTGGGGCTGACATTTCTTATGCTTCTATCATGTGCCAAGTGCAAGCAAAGCATTTTTACAAATGTCTCCTTTAATTTTCATCCCATCACTTCACAGACCAGGCCAGAGGCTCACACACACACACCAGGCTGCTCTCTTTGCTATCCCCAGTTGTATGCTGACCACTGCACCTTCCAAGATGCAAGTGTTCCTCTTTTAGGGAGTCTTTCCTGACTGTGGCAGCTCCCATGCTCTCTTCCAGTCTGGGATTCCCAAAGTCAGAGCACTTAGCAGCTGTACTGTTTTGGTAAATGAGTCATCTGGTATCTCTGGGGATGTTTTGTGTGGTGAGATTCACTTCCTAGCTACATAAACAAGAGGCCAAACATTTAACTTTGTTGAGTTTCACTTTAACTATAAAGGGGCAGGCATCACAACGTGTACGTTATAGGGTTGTTTTGAGGACTGAGTGAAATGTGTGTTTGGAGGTGAGGTGGTTCTCTTTGCCTTGATGCTCAGCCATACTGTACACTCTGCATATCTACGCCTCTGTGGTGTCCTCCTCACAGGGTCTTCCCTATGTTAGTTGCTCAGGTGGTTGTGGTCTGAAAGAACTACCCAACCCAGAAACAAGGGAGCCTCTGAGGGACCTGTTCCACTTCACTGCTAGTTTTTAAGAACCAACAAAGAAAGAGTAACACTGAAACCACCAAACAACCAAGAAGAACCATTGATGATATACCGATGTCACTCTAATCTAGACCACTAAGATAATTGGATGAAGCTCGTAAGTCTCCTAGGAACCCTGGTCTCCTGAGCCAGTTGAGGGGACTAAATGGTTGTCAACCATTCTGTCTGCAGCTTGAATATGTTCTCATTTCAGTGGCCAACCCAGGAAACACTTGTGCACGAATACAAATACCAATAGGATTTTATTCAAACAAAGGCAAGAACATTGAATGACCTTCAGCTGAGTAAAAAATAAGTTAAAAACATGGTTATATTTTAGACAATCAGATATAGTTTACAGGAGGTGATTTCCTCCTAGTCCCTTACTGATTAATCTAATAGAGCATAAAAATAATTTACATCTATAAACTACTCTATTCTTAAGCAAAATGAATTGGAGGTGACCCTAGGAGTTCCTCAGCTATGCACACAATCTATTCCCATATCCCATCATTTAAGGCAAAAATAGTCTAACCTATTCAGGCAGAGGGTGGGCTCACGTCAGCCAGTGCTGTGTCTAAGATACTCAAAGGAGCTTTGCTGCTGAGAGATGCCTGTGTAGGTCCTGTGGTCAAAAGATAAGTGAGCTGCTTTGGTGCTGGAATCCCTTTTGTTTCTAATCTTTACCTCACCACTGAAGGTAGAGGTCCTGGCAGATGGACCCTGGACCAATTTGGGACAGTCCTTCAGTATGGGCTGATTGGGCCTCAGGGGTATCCATGGACTAGGCTGGTGGTATTTTCAGGGCTGAGAGAAGCAGACCTGGTACCCCTTACAAACCAAACAAGATTGAAGGAGGGTGAGCAGGTGGTCTCTCCCCTCAGTTCCTCAGGCTGCATCAGTCTTTCTGGGAGTACTGGGAAGAAAAGATCCGTGCGATCCTGCGAGTTTCTTCTTCAGGCAGGTTGGGAGGGAGGGAGATAGGTCTGGGGCGAGTAGGCCTTCGGGAGAGGGCTTCTTTCTTGTCCTAGAGAGGAGGAAGTCAGCCAGGTTAGCACTTAGCATGCAGCACTACTACCAATGTGTGACTCTGGTGTATGCTTTCTTTGGTCCTTTGGCTAACATTTATGGTGAACTGTCTGTCTTGTAAACACTGTCTTACTTTATTTATTTTTTCCTGTCGGTTGTGGAGCCTGAACTCTGGGCCTGGGCACTGTCCCTCAGCTCTTCAGCTCAAGGTTAGTGCTCTATCACTTGAGCCACGGTGCCACTTCTTGCTTTTTCTGCTTATGTGGTGCTGAGAAGTCAAACTCAGGGCCTCATGCATGCAAGGCAAGCACTCTACCACTGAGCCACCTTCCCAGTCCCTATAAGTCTTATCTTAAGCCTTACTCAATTCCTTGAGACAGGTATAACATTTCCTCATATTGTGGCTCAAGAAGTCATAGTTCAGATAGAAAAAACACAAGGTCCTACTCCTTTGCTCTGAGTGGCAGAGCTGAGATAGGAACCCAGTTCAGGTACTTTTGTGCCTCTAGAAGAGTGGACTGTTACTTCCAGCAAAGGTTTGAAGCTGCACTCATTTCATGATTCTAGACATGTCCCTGTCCTGAATTGGGGCTAAATGTGACTTGAGGATAACATCCAACTCTTGGGGGAAGACACTGTGAATGATACACTATCTGCTTGGCCCTTTGAGTTTCTAGAGCTTCTAGTGACTCAAAGCACACAAAGAAGTAGAGACTGGTTGGAGAAGAGGCAGTGCTGAAAGATGGGGGCAGCCATCACAGGTGAACCTGGCTAAGTTCACAGCTCAAATTGTCCTATGGAGAGATCTCTTCTATGTCCTTAAGTCACATGAGCTGAAGCCATCCAAAACTGGTGGAGCACTGAGAGCAAAGCACAGTGTACTCCCCTGCCTCTTTCCGCAAGCAAGACACTGAAATCCATCAGCCTGGTGGAGATCCTACAGCTTGGGACTAATGGCCCCTCTGCAACGGGAAACCAAGGCCGAGCCAGAGTTTCTTCTGGGATTTTCTTTAACTTAGCCTTTTAAGTGTGTACTGTGTGAAAGGGGGGCAGAAATAAACTCAGTTCTTGCCTTCAGAAGATAGAGAGTGCTCTCTGCCCATGAAAAAGTGGGTAGCTGGACACTCCTGTGGGCCCCTCCCAGTCTAGAATTCTCAAAGCCAGGAAAGTATGCACAAGATGAGCAGGGCCTCAGTCTACCACACCTCACAGAAGAAACAAGCTGTGCTGGAGCAAGGCTTCACAGCTGAGCCTGAAACAGAGAGCTTTGATTTTGGGCAGTCCTAGGCTACAAGGGAGGAACAAAAGCTACTTTTTGCTCCCTTCCAAAATATGAGAAGCAGCTGTATCTTCTAATACTCCAAGGCAAGGGAGGAGTGTCTGCCTGCTGCTCTTTCCTCCACACTGGGCATTCCTGGGCATGGTCTGGCTCTGATATATGTGACCCTAGCTGGGCCAGGTCAAGATGGGAGCTTGGAAGCTATAAAGAGCAGTGAATGTGTAGACCAACAGCCAGTGACCAGAGGCTGGAGAAGAGATTGCCTCTTGCAGCAAATTCATTCCTTCTGGAACCAGAGGTTATTACCTGCCATGTGCCAGCACTTTAAGTTTCTCTCTACTCTCAAACCTAGGGAGAGTGTTTCTTGAACTATTCAGGATTTAAAAGTGACACAAGTTTCATCCCAGTCCTGACTCTAGTATGGATTGGGGTCACCAGTTGTAGATTACTTCGCATTTCTTTTCTTTTTTTGGCCTCTCTCTCTCTCTATATATATATATAATTGTGAAAATACTGTACAGAAGAGTTACAATTACATGGGCAAGATAATGAGTACATTTCTTATCAAGCATTGTAGCCTCCTCCTTTGTTTCCCCTTCCCATCCTCCCCCCCCAACCCGCTCCCCCACCCAAACCTCCCTGCCCCCCCACTTTGCATTTCTTTCTTCACTACAGTGAAAAGGAACTAAGGAGATGTTTGTTTTATAAGCCAGATGGGAAAAAATAGGTCTAAAACCTTGATTTTCTATCTCAGCTCCTAAAACCAGACCTTTGTTTTCTTATCTATCAGAAGAGGAATCTTTGTATTTTTGAGAAATTTGGTGGGTCTTGCTCTCAATGTTAGAAGTACCAAGCTTTGCTGGTGACTTATTAAGCCTTTTGGGAGCCCAGGTTCTACTCCACCTGATCAACTCCTATGAACAATAGGCAGAAATGGTTCCTGTCCTCCCCAGAATGTTTAAGCTCAAGAGGGACAGATGCTGACTGCTATAACAGTTACAAAGGTGATGCTTGAAGCTTGGGAGTACTGTGAAAGCAGCAGTCAGTAACAGCCAAGACAGTCCACACAGAGCTGGGGCTGGGATCTAAGATAGGACTGGCAGCAAGGCTAGCCATGTGTGGAAGGGCATGAACACAGGTCTGCAGCTGCTGGCTGCACAGTATCTGTCTTGGGTTGAGTCCAGTGTGGCTGGCTCAGCCAACCTTCTAGCACCCACACCCAGACTCAGTGGCCCTTATGAGTCCTTATCAGTGTGAACCAGGCCCAGGGACCAGGCTAGAGACAGGACTTGGCTCTGTGTACAGGGCAGGGCAAGAGAGTGGAAAGACAGATCACATTTGGCTTTTATCAGCTTTTTTTTTTTTGGGTCCGGTCGTGAGGCCTGAACTCTGGGCCTGGGCGCTGTCCCTCAGCTCTTCAGCTCAAGGCTAGTACTCTACCACTTGAGCCACAGCGCCACTTCCGGCTTTTTTCTTTTTGCTTAGGTGGTGCTGAGGAATCAAACCCAGGGCCTCATGCATGCAAGGCAAGCGCTCTACCACTGAGCCACCTTCCCAGCCTGCTTTTATCAGCCTTAAAAGGGTTTAATAGTAAAGACTTTCTCTTTATCCAGGTTATTTCTCCAAAATACATAACCCTAAGGGTTGGACAGTCTGTTCAAAGCAGGGATTCCCCAAATGTACTAGCCTTTCTACTAAAAATGTCCACAACCCTGCTTGGTGGAAGGCACTGAAAATGGCCAGCACAGTGTGTGCTTGCTTGGAAGCAGAACTGTCAGAGCTGCTTCAGAGCCCTTGGAGCCTGACAGTGGGTATCACGTATGGGTGGAACCCTTGGAAGAGGACTCTGACATGACGTAAAATGTGATCAGAGGAAGATGGAGAGGATATGCTGGGTGGAGGCTCAGCTTGAGAAAAGTATGGAGAAGGAACTGCTTTGTTGGCAAGGCAGTGGGGATGGGCTGGGCTGACTGTGGGATGGAGGGCAGCTGGAGGGTTGAAGCTGCTGAAGGCAGTTCTTCAAAAGTTTAAGGAGACTGTTGGACTCAAAGGACTGACTTTTAAGGGTCTTCTAGTGAACAGGGAGGGATAAGTGTCTGTCCATTCAGTTCTATTAAATCCCTCCCTTCCATATATAAGAACATACTCTTTTCTGGTTACATGGATACCCAGGCCATGAGTGTGACAGGTTCCCCGGTAATATATTTCTTGGGTCAGTTGTGGGGCTTGAACTCTGGGTCTGGGCACTGTCCCTCAGCTCTTCACTCAAGGGGAGCACTCTACCACTTGAGCTACAGCACCACTTTTGGTTTTCTTGTGGTTCATTGGAGATAAGAGTCTCATGGACTTTCCTGCCTGGGCTGGCTTTTGAACCGCGATCCTCAGATCTCAGCCTCCTGAGTAGCTAGGATTACAACCATGAGCCACTGGCACCCAGTTCTGGTAATAGATTTTTATAGATGCTGTCAGTGAGAAAGGCAGAGGGAAAAGAATGAAACACATAGGAGTAAGGCATGGTAATGGAGGGAAAATGTGAAGCTTCTCAGGAATCCTCGTCTCTATCATGTGTTCACCGATGCCTTGGCGGGCAACTCACTTTTGCTCTGGGTTTGGTTCCTACTCCCTCTTTGGCCAGGTCCCTGTGAGGCATCCTTTTCTCCAAAACTTCTCAGGAGGGTCAAACCCTTTTTTCTGATCTAAAATGAGATCTGATCCCAGCCATTATATTCTGGTTTCTCTCCACTGCAACCCCAGATGGAGCCCTGTGACCAGGCCAGAGATCCTAGGGGGTAGTGGGCACAGGTGTCCTCTGTCTTCTTTCTCCTGCTATGTCTTTCTCGGAGGGAGGCAGAGGATGGGGTGGAGGGAGTATTGGTCTGTGTTCCAATGCAACTGTCCTGCTTGCTTAAGACTAAGACATTTTCTGTGGGTCTCAGTGTCTTCACTGTCAAGCTCTGAAGTTCCCTCTTGATCATGTCAGCAGGTCTATTGTAAGTCTTACATAAATGTAGATATGACCAAGGTTGCATCTTTATCTTTTGAAAGATACGGGCTGTACTGGTGCTACAGCTGACCCTAACAGACACCACAGTATGACAGTGCTTCCATGCTTTGGCCACAAGCAGGCCACACCAAATATGCCCTGGGAAAACAGGGTCAGCACCTCGCCAAGGTGTGCCCAGTACTAGACCAGCCAAGCTACCCCATGCCACTGCCTTCCTCACTTCTCAGCGAGCCTCTGGGCTGAGATTAGGGCTACAGTTTTGCTTGCTTAAGTGATATTACACTGAATCAGAAACTGAAAACAAAACTTTCCAGAGTTAAAAAATTGAAGGGAAACAATCACCACTTCTGGATGGGTAGGTGGCCTTGCCAGTGGGCTGCTGCCTCAGAGACCCAGTGAGGGCTCAACAGAGCTGTCTGTCTTGCTCAACTTTTACCTCCTTGGCTGCCTGCCTGCCCCTGGGGTGGCACCTAGAGTCCTCCGGCAGTGACAAGAACTTCCTTGTAGCTAAAGACACAAACTTAGCAGCTACAGCTAGGAATAGTGGGAAGTGAGGTTTAGACACTTTGATGGAGGCCCAGTCCTGAGGTGAGTCCTGCTCTGACTCACCCTCCTGGCCCAGTAGGGCTGGTCTGCTGCAAGCTCACTGTTCTTTCCTACATTACCTTAAAGCCTAGGTCATGGGCTTCTCATTATCTGTGTGCTCCCTCTACGTCCTGCTAGCAGGAGGGCTGAAAACTCCAGATTCCAGAAAGGGAAGGGTTAAAGTGGTCCTGTTGGGAGAGCTCCAGTTCCTCCCACATGCTGGCCTCAGAGCAGCTCTAGGACTTAAGCCCAACACCTGGCAGCTGGTCTGTAGGGCCCTTCTTAGGAGGCATTTGCCAACTTGCAATCTGGGCTATAGTAGTTACAGGCTAGCTCTGGCTGCTTCCCCTGACTTTTGTACACCGTTGGCCAGTTTGCTCATCTCTTTTCCAAACTTTGTGTGGCCTTTATGGTCTGAGACCTTTAAGGTCTCCTGTTGGACTTCTGTAGAGGCTAGGGACTTGGTGGTTTAATAAAGGAAGGAAGCAGCAGGTCACAGCTTCCTGCTCCAAAAGTATTTAGCCAGTCAGCCAAAAGTATTCAGCCATTTAGGTGTGGGATATAGGCTGAGAAGAATAAAGCTGACTCCCTGCTGATCTGATCTGGTTTTGTGAGGGCTAGGTCTCTCTACCAGGACTGTATATCTTTACAGTGTCTCTGGGCTTATGGCAGGTAAATCATGAAGAGAAAAATTCTTTAGGCTCCTAGAAAAAAAGAAGCCCAAAGCCTTAAGGCTCATAAACAGATAGGCAGCAATGGCTAAGGCTAAGGATCTTCCCCTTGGGTGGGCTGTGTCAAGGTCTGAACTGTACGCACTCCTAAGCTATAGCTCACTGAACTATTCTCCATACTTCTGGGGCTGCCACGCAGGGCCTACCTTCCTAGTGCCCCATCCTGGCTTTCAGTGTTGGATCATGTTGCTACATCAGCATTTCTTTCCAATGTCAGCATCTCCCTCCTCCTCCATACACACTGTAAGAGGGAAAACATCTGGATAATGATAAGAAAAATAAATGAGCCAAAACAGTATGGTCTTTATTGTCTTATGTGCCATGAAGAATTTTATACACGTTGCATATCTTATTCAATGCATAATGTAAGGGGCAGATGCTATTATGCCATTTTTCAGATAAAGGAAGTGCAGTCAGAAAACTTGCCCCAGGTTAGGGGCTAGGAAATAGCAAGCTTTAAAACAGGTTATCTGGTTTCAGAAGTCATGTTTCTAACATTATGCAAAACTACCTGCTGGGACAGAAGAGAGACATTATTGTTCAAGCCTTAAGAAATCCCACAGCAGAACCAAGGTAAAAACCCAAGTTTGCTGACTCTCAGCTTACCTGCTGGCCTGGAATATCTCCCTTCCTAGTGATGTGTGTGTGTGTGCCATGGTTGAGTGGAGGAGAGAAAGCTAGGGAGGGAGTGGGTGGAAAACTCAAAGGCCTCAGGGTACATTCATGCCTAACTTTGTCTATTTTCTGCCTCCTACATTCATGAGAGCAGCCTCTGACCTCATACCTCTGGGTAACATTAGGACTGTTCAAGAAGTGGGAAGAGCCAGGGTTTAATGTAGGAAGCAACTGAACAAGACAGGGCACATCTCATTGGGAGAAGATATTCTACCCCGGGCAGGGCAGAAAAGCCAAGGCTCTGAGGTCAGGTAGCACCTTGTTTTATGCTTGTGATTCCTATCTTATTCCTGAATCCTTTCACCCTGGGGCTTCCTAGTACCTCCGAGCTGCCAAAGTCTGTTGATTCTCTAAGGTTTCCTCCTTATAAATTCACAGCCTGCAAAGTGTTTCCTGAATCTTTGTCAAATTCTACCCTCATATTCATTCCATTTGATTTTGTCTTAGTTAAGTGCTAATAGAGAAATATATCATTTGAGAAAGTTCATGAAGAGTTTGCAAGCCACTGTCTCTATAAGAACTAGGGACTCTTAAAGGCAAGTTCCATGGCACTGGGTCTAGTTTTAACCTGACAGGGACTCGGCAGGAGTTGGAGGTAGCTTAGATGGAAAGCTGACACCTTGAAGAATGTAGGCTCCCCAGGGAACACCTAATTCTGCTCTTTCTTGAACTTGGTGGTTTTGTACTCTTGCCCAAACTACAAACCAAAACGACACCGTTTCCTCTCCTGGCCTGCCTGTCCTCAGGCTCAGCTCTGGTTCTTCTAATCACTGATGAAAAGTTACCAGAGGGTCTGAGTAGAGAAGTCACATTATTTATTTATACTGTATGGGGAATGGATTACCAGAAAGAGGGAAGCAGAAAGGCATAACTTGCTCTGTAATAATCCAGGTGAGAGATGATGATGGAGGTAAGGTGGGAATGCTGAGTAGTAAAAGTTGGATGTAATTTTTTTTTTTTTGTCGGTCGTGGGGCTTGAACTCTGGGCCTGGGCGCTGTCCCTCAGCTCTTCAGCTCAAGGCGAGCGCTCTACCACTTGAGCTACAGCGCCACTTCCGGTTTTCTGGTGGTTTATTGGAGATAGGAGTCTCACGGTCTCTCCTGCCAGGGCTGGCTTTGAACCGAGATCCTCAAATCTCAGCCTCCTGAGTAGCTAGGATTACAAGCGTGAGCCACCAGCGCCCGGCTAAGTTGGATGTAATTTAAAAATAGAGCTGCCACAGAGAGACAAATGATGCATGTTTTTTTTTTTTTCTCATATGCAGAAGCTAGATCTAAAATACACAGGGACATGATAAATTATATAGGACTCTAGGCATTCATACATGTTAGATCCACCTGGGAAAAGTGGCTCCTTCTCTTCATTTTCTCTCTATGTGAAATCACAAGTGGACCCCTTTCCCTCTGTCCTCTGTGCAGGACTGCATGTGGCCCTTCTTAGAAGTCCCCAAGCACCTGTAACCCAGGTCACTGGTATATCTGGGGGCAGTGGGAGGTCCCCCAGGCTGAGGTCACTTCTTCATCTTCTGTGTAAGGCCTCCTTCTCATGCTCCCCAGTATAATCTCTCTCTACCATTAGTTCTCTCTGGACACTTACATCTGGTGCAGGCCAGCAGTTTGGTTCTCCTACTAAACTCACAAAGGTGCAATGCCTCTGTGCCTCTGATCAAATAAAATAATATCTATCAAAATGAACTCCAGGAAATAGAAACATGATTTTTTTTGTCTTTTTGTCCTTTTCTTGTTGTGTATCATCTTTATGATAACAAAATTTTTAATAAAAAAGTAAAGCTGTCAGAAACTTCTGTTTGCTTACAGAGGCATAGGAAAGATTTCAAAATTTGGAAGAAGTAATTGAGATGAATAAGAATGAAGATGAACAGAGCTGGGAATAAAATTTGGAGTTCAGTTTTAGACATGCTGAACTTGTAATATCCAGTAGGTGTCCAAGTGGAGATGCTGGGTAGCAGTTGGATATTTAAGCCTAGTTAGAAAGGAGGCCTGGCCAAGATTACCACTTGGGAGACCAGCTCAGAGGGAACTGAAAGTCTTGAGGCTGGATGGGGTTGCTTAGAAAGGAAGGGTAGAGAGTAGTGTGAGGACTATGGCATGTGCACCTCTATGTTAAGATGTAGGAAGTGAGGATGACCCAACATAGAAGGCTGAGTAGTCAATGAGGAAAGAAAACCAAGAAGCGATGCCTCACAAACACAAGAAGAGGGGAAGGCCAGCCGCCACCCAAGGAGAAACTGCGTTGCCATCCTTGCCTGGCCCTCCCCACTGACTCCATGCTTGGATTTACTTTGGGCAATGTGGTTGGAATGTATCTGGCTCAGAATGATGATATATCAGACTTGGTTTAAAAAATTGAAGAGATTTGAAAGGACTTGGAAACCAAGAAGAAATTCCCTAGTTCCTGAGGCCCCTTCTAGCACTGCATTCTGGATACAATGATTCTGCCCAGGCGCCTATGCAGAGCTCCTTTAACTCGTGACCCAAAGCTTCTGTTCTTATCTTGTCTCAGCCATTTCTTCCTTGCTGGACCCTACGTATTGCCTGAGAGCAGAAAATGGGGCCCAGTTCAGAACTCCTTTCTGCTCCCAACAGCCTGGCTTCTCCCTGTCTTCCTTCTGTCTACTTGGTAGGTTCTAAGGCTGGAATTATGGGGCTAGATTAGCAAACAAGACATTTAAGTTGTAGCTGCTCCTTGTTTCTACTACTTTTTATCAAAAGAAAAATGGATGAGTTTTGTATAGCTGATCAGATATAAGTAATGCTGATTTCATTGTTTAGAAATTATAATGGGTACTTGTTAAACACTTGTTACTACATTTTATTTCAAAATAATTAAAATTAATATGTAGAAGCCGGTTTCTGGTGAAGTATCCATTACTTTATACTATTGTTAGCAGCTCCACAGTTGATAATTTATTTAACCAATAAATCAATTTGTTATTTGCTGAGGAATTACATTTTAAGAATCCTGTCAGAATTGGGCATTAAAAAATGCAAAACAGTTGTTTTTGTCTCAGAAGAGTTGTTTATTTAGTATGCATGCATTTCCTTCATGGTATATTTGTTCTGATACTTTTTTCCCTCAGAAGAATTGTTCTTGAGACTGAAGATGCAGATGGATAAATAAGAAGTTTCTGGTAAATGAAGTGCTATGACTTTTTACATTAAACTATATTTACATCATTAAAAAACATATGAGGACATCCGGAGAGATCAACTGTTACATGCCATCAGGAAGTCAAACTAGAGACAGATTTGGAAAATGGGTCAGAAATCGTGTCATTTCTCTCTGCAGCTGGGAAAGTGGGGGTAAAGTCAAACTTGAGTGGGAGTTTACATAGGTTTTACATAACATGGGAGATGAGTGCAGATGGGCAAGGGAGTGCAGAGAAGTGAGTGGGTTCACAGGGGACAGAATTAACAGGTCTTGGAAATGGACTGGCTATGGCTTGTGAGGTACAGAGGAGTGAAAGATGTTATCTCTGGCAGAAGCTATGTGGGTGTGCCTGAATTTCCTGCAGTAAGAAATAAAGGTGGCTGGGCACCTATAATCCTAGCTACTCAGGAGGCTGTGATCTGAGGATTGCAGTTTGAAGCCAGCCTGAGCAGGAAAGTACATGAGACTCTTATCTCCTATTAACCATCAGAAAACTGGAAGTGGTGCTGTAGCTCAAAGTGGTAGAAAGCTAGTCTTGAGCAAAAAGAACTCAGGGATAGCACCCCAGCTCTGGGGTTCAAGCCCTATGACCGGGGGACTGGGGGTGGGAGTGGGGAGGAAATGAAGGGGGTAGAGAGGATATTTGAAGAAAGACAAGAAGTTCAAAATTTCAGTATAACGAATTATTTGTGCCATATCCAAGACAAGATATCTAGGATGCAATAGGATCCATGTGTCTGTACCATGGGAAAGAAGTCTAGATGAAGTTAAGGATTTTAGAAGCTACCAATAGTAAATACTAATGGAAGTAATCTAAGTGGTTGAAATGTTCTTGAGAGAAAACCTTACATGTTGTGTGGACATGTAAACTATTGCTGTTCTCAACTACTTTTCTTCCCTTTAAACTGATAAAGCTAGCAAGCATGTTCTAGCTCCTGAGGTTTTCTGTTGTGGCCCTTTTGGTGCTGAATTTGGAACAATGTTGGGCAAACTGTGAGGATAAGGGTTGCTGTAACTAGGACCCAGAATGAATGAAGTCCAGGGAGAGCAGTGTATAAGATGTATATAAGATACATTGTCTCAAAACTTAACTTGCCCTTAATTGAAAAATTTTTATTTCCCCTTTTAAATTCATTTAATTGAAGTTTTGTCACAGAAATTAACACAATAGTGGATTTAGAGTCCTTTACAGTTTAAACTATAAAACTAGATAGGTGATATGACTATCTTCTAAAGGGAAACAGGCCAAGCGCATGCCAACTATGGCAGGATATAGTAGGTTATCTGTATCCAATATCTGTTCCCAGTACTTTTTTTTTTTTGGTGGTACTGGTGCCTGAACCCAGGACCTTCTACTTGCTAGACAGGTGCTCTACCACAGTGCCATGCCTCCAGCCTGATGTTTCAATTTTTTTTGTCAGTCATGAGGCTTGAACTCAGGACCTGGGCTCTTTTTTTTAACTTTTTTGCTCAAGGTTAGCACTCTACCACTTGAGTCATAGCACCACTTCCAGTTTTTTGGTGGTTAATTGACCTTTCCTGCCCGGGCTGGCTTAGAACCTCCTGAGTAGCTAGGATTATAGGCATGAACCACTGGCACCCAGCTTCAATTCTTTTTTTTTTTTTTAAACTTTCTTTGTCTTTTCTTTCTTGGTACTGGGGATTGAACCCAGGACAAAGCACTTAGGCAAGTGCTTTGCCACTGAGCTACACCCAGCCCAATGTTTCAATTCTTTGTTGAAACTGAACTACATGTCTAGAAGGCCCTGCCCTACCATGGAAGATATAACCTGAGCTCACAGTGAACCACAGTGGAGGGTACTAAAACTTCCTCCAGGTCCTCCTACAGCCCCCTAAAGAAGACTTTTTTTTTTTTTTTCCTAAACTAATTTCACAGAAACACCCAAGCTTTATAACCTCCATGGCACTATCGGTCACAGCTGGGCTCCATGGCCCAGCTGCTCTGCAGGGTCCTGCCCTATGGGAAGCCTGGAAAGTGGTCAGAACCCACACCCGTGGCTTCAGCCACAGTTCCTCCAAGAGGTCCGAACTTTGTGTAGGCCTTTCCCTTGTTTTCTTGCTTTAGTTTAGGACTCTGGCTCTACTGAGAACAGAATTACATGTTTTCAGCAAAAAACAATAGGGGGGTACAATACTGCAAACATTAAAAAAAAAAACCCAAAACTTTGTTAAGTGACCAAGGCTTTTAAAAAATGAGGTGAAAATTCCTATTTGTCCCTCCCCACACTTTGTATCTCATATTTGAAGACCAAAGATCATTTCCTCTGGGGAATAGGCACATTATGAAGCTATAAGCACAAAAGCAGGAAAAGCAGTTCTGTTTGGCAGTTCAGACAGAGGCTTATAACCTCCTTTCCTGTGGCGCATGACTCACTGACCCTTCACCCACTTGGCCAGGAAAGGAAACCAGTAAAATGCTCAGCCATCTGATAGCTTCTCTTCTGAACCATAACAAACTGAGATTCAATTATAGGTTGGGCAACCTTGGGTGACTTAGCCTTATATATCTCAGCTTATTTATATATAATGTGGAAATAGCACTGTCTCCTTGTAGGAAGTGCAGAGCCTCAGTTTCCTTGCTGTTACCATCTTGATAAGCAGTATCCTCCAGAGGGCTGATGTATTGATGGTCCCTAGATGGTGGCACTGTTCTGGGAAGTGGGGGAAACTTTAGGAGGTGAGGTCTAGCCAGAAGGGTTAGATCAATGGAAACATGACTTGGAAGGGGATACCTGGTCCCCAGTCCCATGTTCTCTGCTGTCTGCCATGAAATGAATTTCCTGTCACATGCTTCTACAGCCATGTTCTGTCTCACCTCTAGCCCAGAATCCAAACTGGACTGAAATCTCTGAAGCAATGAGCTAAAGCAACACCTCCCTCCCCTAACTTTAGTTGTTTACGTCAGGTATTTTGTCATAGTGATGTTAAATCTCACTAATATACTCAGATTTATTAAACAGGGAAGTTAATAGCTATCTCACTGGGTTACTGGGAGAGTCCAGAGTTTGATATGTAGGTTACTTAGAATGATGCCTACACAAAGGGAGTGTCTGCAGGGGCTATAAGAAACAGACACATTTCACTTATAGTTTGCATTAGCCTGTAGTATTTTGCTTTCTTTGGTGGGATGGAAATGGAAGAGTTTGAACTTAGAGATATGTATGTATCCTGGGAAAGTGTTTTTTCCACTGAGCTGCCCAGCCTTTTTAGTTTTTTTTTTTTTTGAGGAGGCTCTTATGCTTTTGGCAGGGGCTGGCCTTTAGACCATAATCTTACCTCCCCCGGAATTAAAGGCTTAAGCTACTACACCTATAGCTTACTAACTTTTGTCTGGGCAAGCCTGGAACCCACTGCTCCCATCTTTATTATTTCCTGCACACCTGGGATTAGAGGTGTAAATCACTTTATCTGGACTTTAAAGTTTTTAAAAAAGTTTTAATTATAAAGGTGATGTACAGAGGGGTTTATAATAAATCTCTTTCTCTTTCTCCTTTCCTTTCTTTTTTCTTTTTCTTTCTTTCCTTTCTTTCTCTCTCCCTTCCTTCCTTCCTTTTCTTTCTCCCTCCTTCCCTCCCTCTCTTTCTTTTCTTTCTTTCTCTCTCTCTCTTTCTTTTCTTTCTTTCCGGCTCCAAGAGGCATGAGTTTTGTGCCCAGTTTACATAGGGTCTGGAATGACACCTGACACACAGTACTATTCCAGGAATTCTTTGTCCACTGTATCACTGCACTTACTTTTTCAAAGTCACCAATGACCATATTCATTCAGTACCCATGAGAGCGCTTAACATTTAAATCAGATATTCTTTCTTAGCACTTTCCACTGAATCTTTTTGTCTTTAGAATTCAACCTTTTTTCCATGTTTCACAAACCTTGTGTGGCGAGGGCCCTTCACCCTCATTATATCAGTTGCTACGTTACAGTGTCATTGGTTTTGATCATGTCAAGCTCTTGTCATCTCGAGGGCCTCTGTGTTCACTCTGCCTGAAAAATTCTCACATTCTTTACAGGGTTGGCTTATTCTCAGTATAGTATGGCAATCAGAAATACAGATTTTTGCAATCAGACTTTCTGGGTTCCAATTCTGGCTCCAGTACTACCTGTGTGACCTGGAAAGACACTTAGTCCCTCTGTGCCCCAGTCTCCTCATATTAAAACAGGAACAATAAGGCTGAGGGAGCATGGCTAAAGTGGTATAATACCTATCTAGCAAGTCCAAGACTCTGAGTTTAAATCTCAGTAACACACTTGCCTCATCAGGCTGCTAAATTAAATGATTTAATATAAAGTGCTTGGAATGGTAGCAGGTATATGGAAAGCACCATCTGATTGTCATTTTTCAGATTGCACATGGCCTCTTCAGAGACTAGGTTCCCATGTACATTTTGTACTCATTGCTTCTGTAAGCTTAATTTTTTTTTTTTTTGGGGGTCCGGTCATGGGGCCTGAACTCTGGGCCTGGGCGCTGTCCTTCAGCTCTTCAGCTCAAGGCTAGTGCTCTAACACTTGAGCCACAGCACCACTTCCGGCTTTTTTCTTTTTTCTTATGTGGTGCTGAGGAATCGAACCCAGGGCCTCAGGCATGCAAGGCAAGCGCTCTACCACTGAGCCACCTTCCCAGCCCTGTAAGCTTAATTTTTTAAGTGTAAGTTTCTTATTATTAAGGTGCTGTACAGAGGGGTTATCATTTTACAACTCAGGTTCTGCGTACATTCCTCTTTTGGACAATTTCACCCCTCCTTTCATTTTTCTCCCATTTCCCTCTCCTGTCCCTGCCTATAAGTTGCGTTTTCCACACAGTGTATTATACTAAATAGCACAATTGCATTTTCACCCTTCTTCCCTTCCCTTTCTATGCTTCCCCTTTGCTCTCCACCCTAAAAAGCGGGGGGGGGAGGGGGTAAGCACACATCACCACCACCACCACCACCAACAACAACAATGTAAAGAACCCATGTTTCCATTTCCTGGAATTTGTTTCATTAAATAGTATTTTCAATGTTCAGCAGAGTCATACCTTTGGGTTCCTGCCATACTGGTATCCTCCTTTAGACTGTGTGTGAATGCCTAGAGTCCTGTGTAGGTTATCATGTCCAGTTACATTTTAATCTAACTCCACATATGCATTGTTTGTCTCTTTGACATGACTTATACCTATGAACTTAATTTTTGAGACAGGGTTTCACTATTTACCCTCAGGCTGATCTCAGCCTTTTGAGTTTTTACTTCAGTCTCCTAGGTTCTGAGATTACAAGTATATATTTACCTACCATGCCTGATCAACACTTTTTCACTTATGACTTAATCTTCATGAATACAGAAAATCTGGTTGTCTTATTTTTTATGATAAATTAATCAGCTGTGTAATGCCTGATTCAGGGTAGGTTCTCAAAAAGTGGATGTTGATTAGAAAATTAGTTATTTTCTTGCCACCTGCAACATAGGGCAGTAAAGTGAAGCCTTGGGATGATACTGTTTTCCAATCAGCCGATTCAGGTGAATGAAGAGGAGTTATAAAGGGTCCTATAAATAGAAACTGGCATATGCTGTCATTGCCATTCTCTCATCCAGACCTAACTTGGCTGCATCAGTCCTGAGGATGCATCTATGCAGTCCTCCACCTGCCTTTGCTTAGCTGGTGCTCTTGCATTACTCACATGCATTTCTTAGCTGGTTCTTGTTTTTATGCTTGTGTGCTTGCATATCTGTCTTAACTAGTAAGGTCCTGTTCTTATCTTCCGCACGATTCCTGAGCTCCCAGCATAGCACTGGACCCACAGAATATGTTCAGTGCAAACCAAGGAGTGACCACTGCCAAAGCCTCTCCAGGAAGAAGGCCCAGCATAGCCCTCATCTCTTTAGAGATGCTGACTCTACATAGGGGGAGGTTAGAAGCAGTTCTTACCTGATCTGCTGCTGCTGCTGGTGGCAATCCTGTAGACAGTGAGAGCATCCTCATAGAGGCCTCCAGCTGCTGGGGAGGCAAAAAGAAGTTGGGAACCACAATGGGCTCTGGGCTGTGACAGTAGTTAAGGCACAAAATTCCATGAGTCTACCCTTTCCAGGCCAGCATCTCCATTGACCTCACACATATCAGTCATATCTCCCCACTTATTCCTCCTGCCCATGAATTCTTGCCTTCTCACTGGAAGACCCTGCATGCTCCTATAAATGAGTCAGTTCAAATCCTTTCTCTCCGAAGAAGCCCTCACATAATCACAAGTCACTCGATCCCTCCTTCCTCATATCCCAGATCACGATCTGTAACAAAGAATGCTTCATTAGTCTGATACAATCCTCATTACACTCAGGTTTCTCAATGACAGAATATGGTTCCCTTCAGTTACCTTATTATCTGCTTAGAGTTGCACCCAAGGTCAGGAGGTTAGCAAGTGTTGATGCTGAAGGCTTACTGGTTAAAAGCTGACCTAGGAAACCAGAGACAGGGAGCAGGTGGGAAGGTCTCTCTAAGGGCAGCAACTTAGGCAGGACCTAAGGTGCTGATGCTGAAGGTGGCCTTTTGCCTGACTGTTCTAATTTATAGAAATGACAACTCTATGAAAGGAGACCAGGGTACATATGCTCAGCTTAGTCTGGATGTGAGCCCTAGAGGCTTAACTTTGAGGGGACTTTGATGCTGGGGACTAGTGTGATGGTCTGATTTTTTTTTTTTTTTTTGTGCCAGTTCTGGGGCTTGAACTCAGGGCCTGAGCACTGCCCTGAGCTTCTATGGCTCAAGGCTGGCACTCTACCACTTGAGCCACAGTGCCACTTCTGGCCTTTTCTGCTTATGTGGTACAGAGGAATCAGGGCTTCATGCATGCTAGGTAAGCACTCTACCACTAAGCCACATTCCCAGCCCATGATGTTCTGATTTTTTGTTTCTGCTTATGTAGCTAAGTATGATTCTGGTTCAAATTCATTGACCAGGTTTTCTATTTTCTCATTCTTTTCATGTTGACTCTAAATTCCAAGAAGGCAGAGATGAGGTGTCTTTTCTTTTTGTAGCCACATGCCTGTCTCTTAGTACAGCGCTTTGGGCAGAGTAAGTGCTCAATATATACCTGATTGAAAGGAATGCATTGAGGTCCAGCTTCAGGTAGTCTGATTTTTCTGTAGAGGTGGTATGAAGGTCACAGGGGAAAAAAACCCTTTGACCAGAGCCTTCTCCAGAAGTGCAGATGAGGCAGAACCTATTTGCTTCTGCTGCTGTCTGCTGTGGGGAGCTAATGCGTTGGGGGCAGGAACAGCATTGCTGGGATGTGTTGGTGCTGGGTCTGAGTATGGAAGCTCTCACCACTATCGCCTTCTGCCTGCTTTGGGTCCTGCACCTCCTCAGCTTATGAAAAATGCAAATTTTCTCTATTAGTAAGGGATCAATCTCAGCCCTTCATCTCTAATGCTAGATTCCCTTCTGTTTACCACTTAGCTGTCATTTTATTACATGAATAACTTCAGGAAAGTTCACTTTTTTTTTTGGGTCCGGTCGTGGGGCCTGAACTCTGGGCCTGGGAGCTGTCCCTCAGCTCTTCAGCTCAAGGCTAGCGCTCTACCACTTGAACCACAGTGCCACTTCTAGCTTTTTTCTTTTTGCTTATGTGGTGCTGAGGAATCGAACCCAGGGCCTCAGAGGCATGCAAGGCAAGTGCTCTATCACTGAGCCACCTTCCCAGCCCCGGAAAGTTCACTTTTGTGCTTCAGTTTCTTCATGCTTTAAACAGAAGAAATACAGTATATAGAGCTTGGTATAAATGGGTTTACACAGGAAAGGTGCTTATACCTGCTATTCTTACCCATTTGCCCAGCTTATTCCTGTGACTCCAAGGTCCTCCCAGTGGACACATGCTCATCTACATTTGACTCATCCCCCATCACTTCAAAGTGTGGCTGCAACCTGAAATTCCCTTTAGGCTCTATTCCTCTTTCCCTCTCCAGAGTCATTCAACTCTGACCTTCTTGCTGTCCTGACTTCCAGAAATGCCCACTTGTATACCTGATCCCACGCTTGCATCTTCCTAGATGTCCCACAGGCACACATCCATCTTTCACCAAACCTGTCTATGTGCTATTCTAACACAGCAAATGATATCACCATCCTAGCAACTTGTGACAACCTGCTGTGGGGTCTGACAGGCAGTCGGCATATGCTCTAAGTTACTCTCTATAAATTAATCATTACATGCCCCTCCTTCCCATTCTCCGCCTATGTGATCCCTGGATGTTCTTCATCATTCTCATGTGACACTGTATACTTCAGGCCAGACCTTTTCTATTTCTTGTTGGAGCAAGTTTCCTAACCTTCTGGTTTCTGGTCTCCCTGATCTAATTCGTCCTCTACAAGGCACGGAGGGACTTTTCTGACATGTAAATCTGACAACATTACTTTTTTATTGGACACTATAGGAACTGTGTTAGGTAGTTTGTAAAATTAATTTAGTTTTTACAACCCCATGACTAGTATTGCTACCTCCTTTTTTTTTTTAAGTGCCAGTTCTAGGGCTTGAACTCAGGACTGAGCTTTTTTGCTCAAGACTAGTGCTCTTGAGACACAGTGCTATTTCTAGCTTTTTGGTGGTTAACTGGATATGAGTCTCATAGACTTTCCTGCTTGGCTGGCTTTGAATTTAGCCTCCTGAGTAGCTAGGATTATAGGTGTGAGCCACCAGTGCCTGGTGAGAGAAAATTCATGTTATATGCTTTTAAGGCAAGGTCTCAGCACTTCAGTCTAGTCTAAAATGCTAAGAACCAGGCCCTGCCTCATCTCTTAAAAGTCCACTTACCTCTGATATCCAACCACAATGTACTGCCAACAATATATTGTCAACAGCTGTTTTTTTTTTTTTCTTCTTCAGTAATGGAATCTGAATTTAGGATCTCATGCTTGCTAGGTGTGCTATGAGTTGCAACCCAAGCCCTTCTTCTTAGGTTATTTTTGTGATAGGGTATTACTACATTTTGCTCAGGTCAGCTTGAGTAATGACTCTCCTCTATTTATACTTCCTGTGTGGCTAGGAAAACAGGTGTGCACCACTATGTCCAGATTTTATTGGTTGACATGCAGACCTGTAAACTTTTTGCCTGGATTGGCCTTAAATTGTGATCCTCCTGATCTGGTCCTTCTGAGTGGTTAGGATTACAAGTATGAGCCATTGCTAGTCTCTTTTGCTTGTATAGGCCTTTGCAGACAGTTTGCACAAGCTAGAACTTTCCTTTGGCTCTATGTAGGTTTTGTTTTTGCTGTTTTTTTTTTTTTTTTAGACAGGGGTTTACTATATAGTCTAGGTTGGTCTGAAATTCATGATAATCCTTGTCTTAAGTCTCTCAAGTGCCTGGTATGCTTACTCATTGTTAAGGTCTGGCTCTTGTATCTCTTCCTGCAATACCTCTTCTTGTTCCATGTCCGACCTCAGCACACTGAACAATTGTTTGACTGATTCCTATTAGTCATGTAAAAAACGTGAAGTAAGGTCTGATTCAAATTCTGTCTTCAGTATCTAGCATAAGGCCTAGGAATACTAGTTTTTTTTTTTTTAAATGAATGAATGTTTGAAAAGGCTTGAACTTAGGCCTAGGCACATGTGGCAGTTTATCAACCCCACTCTGAGCAAACTGAAATGGCTCTGAGGCTAGCAATGGCAAGAGCCAGGAAGGACAAAGGCAGGGAAGAACTTTACCAGAGGTGGTTTGAGTGCTCAGTCCCCAGACACCTCACACATTAGGCCTTTCTCATCCTCAGGTTTTTCTGACCTACAGTTGAGTGTCTGCTTAGCAAATGTGAGGCTGAGTTTAAATCCCTGTACTACCATTTCTCCAAACCATGCTAGTTCAGTTTACTCTGTATTTACTGATCCCTACTTTGTGCAAAGCCAGGTAAAAAAGACACAGGAAAAAATGAGGTTGCTGATCTGGGAAGTTGAAAGTCTGGTGGGTAAGAGATAAGTACTTCCATTTTATATGAAAAGAAATAGGCTCAGAAAGACAAAACTTGAAGCCACACAAGTAATATGGGTTTCTAAGGGTCAAAGTCAGGCCCCCTGTCAGGATCTCTACTCAGTAAGTGACCTGCCTCACTTATCAGGAGTGAAATATCTCCTTCTCCAAGGGGTAATGTCAGGAAACCAGGCAAACTAATTGCTCAGATGGTTCTCATGGTTTCCTTCTTCCTATTAACAGTGACATTATGGGGACTTGGGCAAGTCCATCTCAATGGTGTCTACTTCCCCTTAGCTACATCATTTGGCTTAAAAAAAGTAAATTGAAGAGAAACGTATGCATTCCCTGAATTGTGAAATGGTAACCTCTCTGCTAACACCTCAATAATAACAAAATTAGATTAAGAAATTAAATCGTGGGAGTCACTGAACCTCATTTTCCTTACATGCGGAATGGACACTTACCACTAAAACTGTTAAATGCATGTAATGCCTAGCACATACTAAATGCAATGTTTAATAATGGCAGTGTTGTTCTTCTTTCTTGACAACCTCTACTTTTTTCTTTTAGTGGTGTCAATAATGGAACTAAGGTCTTATGCATGCCAGGCAAGTGATCTACCATCTAACTGTACCCTTAAATTTTCTTCCCCTTCTAGTTCAACTGAGATCTCGGTCTTGACTTCAAGTGATAAACTACCCCACAGATAGACTAGATAAATCAGGTTGGAAAGCCTATGAATGTGATATCAACACCTAAATCCAAATCATAGTATTATGTGCCAGGGAGCTATTTGGTATCAATGGTAGATTTGTAGCACCTGTCATTCAGGTGAGTCATCTTAAGGGTATTTCCATGCCCCCACTATATTCAATGAGAGTGGCCACTGCACACATTCACACTTGGCTAGCCTAATACCAGCACCCAAAATGCTTGGAGATGGAAGAAGGGGCCACTTGTGGAAAACACCAAAGGATACAGGAGAGTCTGCTTTGTGGACACCTCTGATTCAGTTGTCACCTGCGTCTCTTGGATGTCAGGGGAGTCCATAGGTGACTCCTTATAGTTTTCCCCTTTTCTCTGGGAGATTATTTGCAAAGGGAACTTCTCGAAGCTATCAGAAGAGTCACTGAGCTCACTGGAAGCAGCTTCATTTTCAGTCTGGGCTTCTGCCTTGTCCTCCTTGTAATGATCTCCTGGAGGTGAGCTCCACTCAACAAAAGCATTGCTCTGTTGTACTCCTGGGAGTGATAGGTGTGGGTTCAACTGATGGTTGGTTGAGGTAGGCTCACCAACTTTGTCCTTAGGGACACCACCCTCATAAGCAACAAGCCTTTGGCTAGGAGAGCCCTGCCCAGGCAGGTGGGGGTTGATAGCCTTTTCTGGGCTTAACAAAAAGCTACTTCTGACCTCGAGTTCCTGACTGGGGAAAGGCTCTGAAGGATAGGAGTCTTCCCTCTGTACCTCATCAGGCTGAGGGCTGATGACCTCACTTATGTCTGATACAAAACTGGACCAAGGGCTAGTTTTATCCGTCACAGTGGTGATTTCATTTAGGGTCCTGGGCTCAATGACATCTTCTTCGTAGTCCTCATCACTGAAGGCAGGGCCTGTCTCGGGGTCCTCACTGCTCTGCATCCTTGTAACAGGTACTGTTTGCTCTAGGGCCTCATGGAACATTTCTCTTCCACCTGCAGTCTCTTCAAGAGCAGGAGGCAAGGAATTTGTGTCCTCCTCTATTGCCAATGGCTTGTCTGGTGTTGTGCTTCGCTCTCGCACAGTCTCTGTGTCTTGAGTATCTGGGACGGCGGTGGCAGTACTTCTACTTTTGGCTCGGTGAGAGGTCAAAGCTGCTTGAGAATTCCTGGTGATAGTCTGCAGATCTGAACAGCAACAGATAGGACTCTTACCACAAGGCAGGGCCACAGACATTGCAATGTTCCCACACTGGTTTCTAGCTTCACAAGTATCCTTGTGAGCAGACTTTGAACAAACCTTAAAGCAGTTAACTCACCCAAGAGTCAGTGAAACTATTCACAGCAGTACCATTTCTAGTACTTTATTCTAATATCAGAGAACCAAAATCTAATCTACTTATAGTTGTGGATACATCTGAGGAAATGCTTTCAGAGACTATCTGCTCATGCTCAGGAATTCTTAGGAGCTGGGAGTCCTGACGGGCATGTTCATGCTTCCATTTACTTCAGTAATTACCTATATTAAAAACCAAAATAAGAGTCTGCTTATTTACCTATTTTATGACAGTTATTAAAACTATCTATCTTACCTGGAAAATGAAAGCAAGGAGATATCCACCACCTACAAGGAAAATGGGGCAGCAGGTGTGTTGGAAAGAGCACAGTGGCTTTACATCTGGTCAGCCTTAGTTTCAAGTTTCTACTCTCACTTGTTAACTGTGGTTAACAGTTATCCTTCCTCAGTCTGGTTTTCTTTTTCATCTTTCTCCTTTTCTTGCCCCTTTTCCTTCCCTTCCCCTCTCTCTCTTCACCCTTCTCTCCCTTTTCTCTTCCTTCCTCCCCTTTCTTCTAGTGATGCTGGGGGTTAACTTCAGGATTTTAGGTTTGGAAGGCATGTGCTCGACCAATTGAGCCACATCCCCAGCCCTTTTTGCTTTTTCAGACAGGTTCTTGATTTTTTGCCCAGTCTGGTCTGGTCCATGATTCTATTTGTATTTTCTACATAGCTGGGATGACAGATGTGCACCACTACACCCAGCTTTTGGTTGAGATGGAGTCTTGCAAACTTTTTGTCCAGGCTGGCCCTTAATTCAGATCACCTCTCAAGTAGCTGGGATTACACGTAGCACCTGGCATGTTAATCTTTTAATTGTGATATAACCCTCTTTACAAGTTAAAGAATACATGAAAGTAAATGTGTATATATAATGTGGCATATATATTTAATAAAGCATTTAATAAATAGAAACTACTAGTCAAGATCCCATCTCAAAAGAAAAGAAAGTCAAATTTTTTTTTGTTTTTTTGGTTTTTGGGTCCGGTCGTGGGGCCTGAACTCTGGGCCTGGGCACTGTCCCTCAGCTCTTCAGCTCAAGGCTAGTGCTCTACCACTTGAGCCACAGCGCCA